GCACCGTGAGCAGCTCATACTGGCGCATCCGGTTGTGGAGTTTGTAAGCGTAGTTGGTGTAGTATGTGAAATTTTTTTGGGCCAGTTTGTTTTTGTACTGCGTTTCAATTCAGTCAAGCAGCTTTGTTGGTTCTTTTTCATATTTGGCATAAGCGGCTTGGCAAACCTCGAGACCTTTGTGCCTTTTTTTTTTTGATGGAGGCCGTGAGCCATCACCAGAAAGAAAACAGGCAAGATAATTGCTGCCAATGAAAGCCACAGCATTGAGAACAGCACCACACGTCGTGATTGCAACACTTGCCATATACATAATACCCTCAAAATATGGACGTTTTTGATGCCAGTGGCCAGGCTGGTAAGCATTGCCGCATCGAGAAGTTTTAATAAGCTTGTTGTCAGACTTGGTTGTGTATATTATGTAACAAATTATTTTGCATAACTGATAAGAGGGCGGTGGCTTATAACCAGGTTCAACGCCAGGTTCAGTTGGATCAAAATCATCAAAGTCAGACTCATCATCGTCAAAGCGAGGTGTTATAAAAATATCTTTGACGAGGTCAAATGCGTAACCAACGAGTACTGTATTGAGTGGGTACATTATGTCCCTGTGAACTCTTCATAAGCCATAAAGCGCTGTGGTATTGATAACAATTTTATCAAGCCTGTTGTCGGACATGGCTGTATATATTATGTTGAAATTTCAATCTACGTGGCGAAGATTGGGGCGAGGCTCAGGCTTAAGTGTCAGGTTCGCTGGAGAAAGGCCATGATTGCCTCTCGCTGATAACAAACGCCCAGAGCGGAAAGGGACAGGCCTCCTATGCTAAGAATCAAATAGACATTCCCTCTGTTTCCCGTGGTGGAGGGCTCTTTTTGCTCTGCACGTTGTCCTGGAATGTTGATGGGGAGCAAAACAGGAAAATCTGAGGGTTTCGAGCTGTCTGGAGTGGCCTCCAGCATTTGCACGACTTTGTTGACTGCATCCTATTCAGACATGCCGAATATATTAAGTAATAATTTTGATTCTGTAGGGATAGCGCAAGGCAAAGACCAGATAAGAAAATTTTGTTTTTTCAGTTTAGCCATCAGATTCTTGTTCTTTTCGGAAGTAAGTTCGCTGGCATAATCTTGGATGGCTTTGTGGTTTTGTCAGATAGAGAGTAAAACAGAGCAATGGCGGCCATGTTTTCACAGAATGGTTTTGAAATGCTGGTGATGCCTACATGGCGGGCTGAAAACCCCAGAGAAACCAGCTGACCTGTGCTGCTTTTCAATTCTTTTAAGGCAGCACAATCGTCCAAAACAATAATGGTGTTTGTTCTGAAAAAATCTGAGGGTTTCGTGCTCTTCTTGCAAGCCAGAGTTTCACCCCTTCTTGCACGCAGTCAATGACAAAAATTCGCGAACAGTGATCCGCAAAGCCCTCCTAGGTTTTGTTGTGGACAAAAGTTGGGCATATCAAAACCATGTAGCCAAACTTGCCCTGAAAAGGGGCCCCCCAGCTGGTCAGCTGGCTTTACCTGAATTTGTGGGCCCCATGATCAGGGCGTTGAACGGTGTACTATCTTGATTTGTAATAAAGAACAGGATTTGTAATATCAACCGGATTTGTATTGAAAATCAACGTGATATGTAATAACAACAGGATTTGTAACAAAAATCAACCTAATATGTAATAAAATAACTAACCGGATTTGTAACTAACTTTCAACCAGATTTGTATAGGTAATAGCATGATTTGTAGTGATATTTGGCATAAATACCACGAGTGATATTTCGAAATTGTAATTCGTAATTTCACGAGCCGTTAGGCGAGTGAAATTTTGAGACAATTTTGAAATATCACAAGTGGTATTTATGCCACATATCACGTACAAATCATGCTATTATTTGTTTATACTAATACCCACAAAAGGTTTGTAATTTTCACATGTAGGTATTTCAAATTAAGCTGAAATACCACTGCTCTAAGCCAATCAAATTGCAGAAATTTCTGATGTAGTAGTATAAGTATCAATAAGTATAATATACTTAACGGATTTGTAATCCATCAACAGGATTTGTAATAACATTGCGAAAGGTCAGTCACTTATTTTTATACTGTCTTCAGCTGCATTTCTCAAAGATACTCACTATTCTACCACTTATGGCAGGGTTGGGATATTCCAAAAAGTTAGGGATCAAGAAGGCCAATTTAAGAGGAGTTTAGGGGAGAGGGTGTGGGGTTAATATATTCTACATATCTGCCTACACATACAGCGAAACCTCTATGAAGTGGACCCCCAATTATGCGGACACTAAGCCCGGTCCTGAAACGAACGTTTGATATTTCCCCTATAACGAATCCCTACTCAGCGGACACCTCTATTAAGCAGACAAGGACATTAAAATAAGTTGTATTTGGCTAATTTCTATTGTTAAAAACCTCTATTAAGCGGACATCGGACTGAATTGACAATAGCAGTATTAGATTACGTCCTTGAAATACGTACTGAAGTCAGTTAATGTTTTTGCATTTACAAACAAATTAAAGTTAGTAATGAAAGGTAATGAATTTGAACTCTGGATAGCTTCTTTAACAACATGCAACTTTATCAAAGTACAGAGTAACCCTTGAATGTTGATCGTCAACAAACATTGTGCAATTTTTACCTCTATTAAGCGGACACTTGGGAAGGTCACGAAGGTGTCTGCTTAATAGAGGTTTCACTGTATGACCCAAACCCAAAAAGCCCAAAAAAGAAGGCACTCGCCACATAACGATGTTTATTATAAAAGTATTAGATTTACACACTCAAAAGCAGTGATGTAAAAATCATCTTTTGATAACAAGAAACATTCTCATTGGTTGAACGATTTTTTTTTCACTGTGAAAAAATATAATTCATGGTTTCTGGTCGTACGACCAATGGGATCACTTCATTTTCCAGCCACTGCAGTGGCAGCCGCGCTTAGTTTACAGTTCCTGCCTTAGCTGTAAGGTTTAAAAGTAGACGTTACGATTTCCTTAATATCACTTGCATGGTTCTACATGTAACGAAAGACATGATATAAAATATGTGGCTCTAACTAACAAAACTTGGATTCAATGAAAAGTGAAAAGCTCTGGAAAGCCCTTCAAGATAACGACTCAGTCAACACAAACACTTCCTCAGCCGGTCCAAACAATATAAAAAACAATCCGGGAACAGAGTTCTTATCTAGTACATAAATTCCTAGTTGCAAGTGGATAAGTATTAAAGAAACCACTTTCATTATCCCCTGGATAGTGATTTTGACACTTGATAACGCTCTCCACCTTTAAAACAACTGGGGCCAGACCACTAGGCTAAGTGATGCATCAAATTCTTGTTTAATGAGGCTACATAGCATTTAGCATGAAAGAGCGGAAAAGTCCTGGGACAAAAAACAAATTAAAGTAAGAACGAAGAACCACTCTAAAAAGAGAAAGAAATTGAAATTAAAAAAACAAAAGATTAGAAAAGAAAAAACCCAACCTGACCCCTTGACCACCCTGACTCCCTTCTGGAAATTTCCGAACCCATCCTTAAAGGTAGGTAAGGGTATTCATTTTTTATTGGAAATGCACATCAAAGTATCACTCACCTTTCGCAGCGTTATTACAAATCCAGTTAAGTATGTTATTACAAATCTGGTTGAAAGTTAGTTACAAATCCGGTTAGTTATTTTACTACATATTAGGTTGATTTCAAATCCTGTTGGTATTACATATCATGTTGATTTTTATTACAAATCTGGTTGATATCAGAAATCCTGTTTATTACAATTCAGGGTGATACAAACGGAATGTTGTTGTTTGGGTCCATTTATATTTAAATATACATCACAGAATCGAACTGCCTTCCGACGATGTTCAATTGCGCATCGCTGATTGGGAAGACGTGGCAGTTCTTTTTTCCCGAGCCAGAGGTCTTTCTGACGATTTCAAGGTGCACACAGTCTTTGGTGGTTTCAAGATGAACACCACTGCCTTGCATTGAGGTGTCCGCCATGGAACAAAGATCGATAAGCACCCCAAACCAGAGAATTTTAGGAGGTCCACTCTGCTTGCAACTTCTTTGGGCTGAAAGAACTGCCTGATCTCCCGCCACATTTTCCACGAATGCACTTGAGAGAACTATTCATTGTGACGCTAACTATGGTGATGTCAGGATGGAAAAAAACAACAACAAAAGAATGCCCTTGAGTGACCGGCACTGAGGGTTCACCCTGATGTTGAGCCTGCTCTCCTTGTTCTTTTCAAAGGTCACCACCGCTTCTCGTATGATGTAGTCAAAGGTGAACTACTTGATGCTGGTGTACGTTCTGGTCGCAGTGTTGGACAGCTTCTTGCTGTGGATGGCCTCATATTCCATCTGAATGTTTGTCAGCTTGTAGACCAGCTTTGAAGCATCCGAGCTGTTTACAACCTGCAAAGCCAGCGTGAGCAGCAGTTCAAACATAAAAATATTGAAAGGGCTTCTTGATAGAAAACCCTGTGATCGTCCAGAAATTTGGTGGTCCAGCTGGATACGGTACATGTTGCCAAAAATGGCATCCAGAGCCTTTTAGCATCCATGCCCATAGTCTCCTCGTCAGCAGCTTTTAAGCGAATCTTACAAAGTTTTTCGGTTTGAATCCCCTCCATCAGCAAGTTGTTATGGCGCTCATGGAGTGGAAGGAAAAGATCCTCGTAAATTTTGTAAATGTCATAACCAACTGTGTCTTGAAGAGTGGTGCTGGTGAATTTCACTGTGAACTTGTCCACCAGCGCTCTCAAGACGTTTTGGACGCGAAAAAATTGTTTGCAGTACTAGTTAACCCAGCACAATGACTTCATTTTCGTTCAGCTTTGGCATTGAAATGTTGTGTCTCGTCTGGGTTTGCAAAACTGGGGATGAAAGTTATCCCATTTACAGTGAAATCAGCCTTCATCACATGGAGCTTTTTTTTGCGATGCGTCGTTTGCAAGAAAACCTCCAACCAATGCAATATAAAACATGGACGATAGAGATCTTCTTATTCCTATCGAGGAACATCCCGATGATGATGATGGACACACTACTCAACTGTTTCAGGCTGGTTCTTCCTCAACGCCTGGCCCTATCCCAAGTGAACAACAATGATGAATAAGCTGCCAGAATGAGGGCACATTCAAGAAACATCTTTGATCAAAGGCATTCCCCGAGGAAGGGTTATTACGGCTGAAGATCAAAAAATAATCAGGACACAGTCCAGGCTGGAAGACCTTTACCCTGATTATGACTCTGAAGGGCAAATGGGGCGAAATTCCAAGATAAGGTACCCCTGGAAAATCCTGGCCATTGGCTGAAAGTGCGGTGAATCTCTGATTTTCAACGAAGATATGTCAGTGAGAGAAAGCTTGCCAAAGTTTGTCAAAGACACTCCCAGTCAGTCAAGACAAGAGCTTATTGCCCAAAATCGAGAGGAGATCGACAGGCACAATGCAGAAATTGTGGCAAATGAAGAAACTGCAAACAATGAAAATGAACAACTGGAAGAAAGGGTGAGAGTACGTGAAAAAGTATGTCATTGTTCAGCCCAAGCTTCATGTTTGGCGTTGCCTAATTGAGGAGGTTGTTGTAGGCAACTGTTCTCTCTGTGTTAATCACCATTCGAGAGGGAACCAGCTATGCTCTAGGCACAGCTGCTAAATCAAGACACACCTTTGCTTTGTCTACAGCCTGCTAGTAATGCTGCACACTTTTGGCGAAGTCTGGCTGCTTGATGGCATCCTCCAACAACACAATAAACTCGCTCTGCACTTCTTTTGCCCTGCCTGCATCACTGAGAATGTTGCTTCGCACATTATCTTGGGCCCTGAGAATACAGTACACGAAGGCCTTGATTGACTGATTCAAATGTGACAGTCATGCCTGGGTGAGCCTGTTTGCCTTGTCAAGCACAAACCAATTGAACTGCCTATCGGTGCCCTGCTCGTTTCTGATGAATCCAAGAATGTTTCTTTTGTCCTTTCCAGGCCCTGCCCTCAACTGCAAAACACTGACTCAAAGAGTTTGATAACGTGGCTGGCAGATAGGTCCACTACTTAAATGGCCAAGAACTTCTGTCATTGTAAATAAACATAACCAAGGCCATGATTTTGTCCGTGTATGAAACAGAAATCTGCCGTTGGCCCTACTTCGAACTCGGTGCGAATTCAAATGTATAGCGTAATGTCATATTTGTTGTTCATTTGGTTAAATGTCAGGTCTCCCAGCAAAGCACTCATGCTTTGGATTGCACAGCTGGTAAAGAATTTCGCCTTACTATGAAGTAAACAAGGAACTGAAAGAATTCTCTTAGCTGAGAACTCAGATGCATTCCACCACCAACAAAATGTCTTGTGAAATACCACAGCCCGTGGTTGCACACCATATCGCAAAATAACAACAACAACAACAACAACAACAAGTTTATTTCAAAGTAAATATAGCTTACAAAGCTTGTGCCCGCAATCAGCAACAGCTATTCGAGGCAGGTACAAGAGAAAAAAAGAAAATTCTACAAATATATATATATTTAACATTTATTTTTAACATATATTTTTTGCCTCTGGTTAAACAGCCCGCCAGCACTTGCAACAGTGTTTGAAAAAGAAAAACAATATTTCCCCCTTCTGCTTGAATTGTGCAAAGGAGAAATCCAAATGTTTTTTCCATAATTATCAATTATGTCGCGTTTGTGACAAGAAAATGCAATATTGCCCCTTCTGAAGTTGAAATGTTTTGCACAAAATGCGGCTTGAACAAAGAGGATGTTCTTTTCACAATCCTTCATAAGTAAAACTGATTAAAAAAAGATTATTAATTGCTCAAAAGGATCAAGCATTTTTTACAATGCAAAAGTTTTAATTTTGACGTGATGTTTATTTCACAGGTTTTTCTTGTTTACAATGCTTAGAATGAATTTGTTGATTCTGACATTTCAATAATTAAAGATTTTGTGACATCTGGCAAAACAACCAAAAGGGATTTTCTTTGGTGCTCTTTTCTAAAACATCATAACCTGCTCAATTAAAATTACAAGTCAAATTTCCACATTGTGACATTGCATTACATCTCTGTCATGACTGTCACACGTGATGTTGCCTGAGACGTCACAAAAAATAACAAAACCCTTATCGAGGGATGCTCAGTGGCAGTTGTTCCACTTTAGCATCAGGGACCGAGGTTGTTCTCTGAAGAGATCTAGGCTGCTGACAAGGCAGCTGTCTCCCAGTTATGCTTTGGGACAGAGTTGAGTTCTCCAAAGAGAACTCTGAGAACCCCCCTGTTTCCACTAGGGCCGGGAGTGGACTGGATCACTTCCCCTATACCCCCGTAGTTCACCATCTGCACGTGTCCTCAAGCTGGGAGAGTTGGCCAGCTCGCCCCACCTAGACACCACCACAATTTGTGAACTAAACTTTACAAGAATCAAACGACCTATATATATTGATCGAAACTCATTGCGCTCACTTATGGTACAGTTGTTCACATATGCATGCGCTTTTGGCCAGAAAAAAATTTAGAATTTTTCTGTGATTAAAAAAAAAAACACATCCCATTCACTCAGCCTAGTGCCTCACGGCCAAAACTATGAAAAAAATGGCGGCTGTTGCTAAAAGTAATTTTGCTTCAAAAAATGTACAAAAACGCATAATCCGGTCAAAAAATATGCTCAATAAGGAGACAGCCTCCATTTGCGATGCCACAGAAACAACCAGTGCAGTGCAGTGATGTGAAGGTATGTGATGAAGAACAGTGGAACGCTGTTAATAAGGTCACTAATGGGCCAAAAAATTTGGCCGTATTAACCGGTGACCGTATTAACAAAGGTATTTTTAAGAGAAAATGTATGGCCGTTTTGCAAGGTGGCCAAAATAAAGCGGCCGACAAAATGAGGTGACCGTATTACTGAGGTGGCTGCAAAACGGGGCTTCTAAAAATCTGTTCGCTGTGGCCACCTTGGCAAGCGACCATATCAACCATCGAGAAGTTTCTCGGCACATTTTCTGTTTCTCTTGGGTGCCGAGTCTCTTGCACATCTTCTAGCTTGTCTTGTCTATGTGTTTGTTCCAGGTGAGGCTGCTGTCAAGATGGATTCCGAGCAATTTGGTGCTGCTGACTGTCTTTATAACTTGACCCTGGATGGTAATCTTAGAGCCTGCTTGTTCTTGGCAAGTGATCTTTTTTTATGACTTGCTGCATATCAGCATACGTATTAGGTACTTCTGTACCTGATGTAATTTAACACAACTTATAACCGAACCAACTCGGGTTACAGAATCCTCCAGCTCAATTCTAGCTCTCATGCTTGCATCAGATATGAAGAAAGTGTAAAAGGCTGTAGTTTACTTAGCTTAATTAGTGATGAGGAATATTTTACTCTCAAACTGAAACAAACACGCACCAAACCAGTGTACAGTGTACAAAGGATTGGTTCCTTGGTCCATTGTGGATATATTTGTTAGCGTAAACGACAAACTCTTCGCTTTTGATACATTATTTAATAACATGCACCAGTAAAATCTTTTAAAATTCGTGGGAAACCAAATCCTTGTGTTACTGACAACATCCACGGACTAATGAAAACCAGAGACAAATGGCACAAAGTAGCAAAGAAAATAAACGATCCTTTGGCATGGGGGACATATAAGCTCTTTAGACAAGAGGTTAAACGAGAGATCCGAATAGCAGAAAGAGACTTTGTTGTTGAGTAGATACAGAAAACCCAGGCAACACCAATAGTATCTGGAAGACAATCCGCCACTGTATACCAAATAAGTCTAAATCGCAGCGTATCTTTAGTAAAGACAATAACTTAGTGGCTGACGAATTTAATAAATTTTGTCTCAGTTGGTCAAACTATGGTTGAAAATATTAAATCACTGGCTAATAAATTCAATATTGAGACAGAAAACAATGGCAACTTTATCCCAAGAGAATATCCCGAAACTAATCAATTCTGATTGTAAACACATAAAAGATATCATTACATCAATGGCCTCTAATAATGTACCTATCAATGTTAAGCCAGCAGGAGGTGGGGGGGATGGGCAGGGCATGGGTTGGGGATTTGACATTTTTCAAAAAGTTGTCGTCAAATTCCCTGCCCATGGGCAAATCATTCCAGTCAATTGCAACCAAATTTCCCCACCCCGGGCTGCACATTTATGTCGATCCCAAGCCTGGACCCAAGAAAGGCACAATAAAAATATCTCCAAATAAAACTCTGGAATCTTTATTTATAAACTTTACTGCATCACCAAAGATACATGTTCCTGTTAAAGCTGCAATTATGCGTTTTAACCATTCAATCCGTGTTTTAATACACTGCATAGAATACTGAAACCTTTAGGAGAAAGTCCCCATTTTGTAAGTTCGAATATATCGTTCTTAGTAAAGGGTACAAAGAAAGTCAGTTTATAAGCTTTATGTGGTGATTGTAGTGAATGTCAGCCATACACTGATCAATTGTATTTGCAAAATCGACTTGGTTTCTCTTTACTTCCGTTTACTTTGATACCACAGTATCTTAAAGGGTCCAATTGATCAATACGGTAGAATCCACTCACCTTTAGCTCGTTCTCGTTTGCTTCCATGATTTCCAGATCTTTCCAGACCGTACGTCGCGTGCGTGAAGCGTGGAAGTGGGGAAACATATATTTGGTCGCAGTCTCTTTCGTCCGAGTTGGCAGTCAAATCCATCCCCATGTCAGGCAAAGAAAGATTCAAATGTCCCCTCCCCCGGGAGAACAAGATTGGTCAAATGCCCTACCCCAGGGCCAACAAAGACAATCAAATCCCCACCCCATGCCCCAAAAATTTATTCCCCTGAGGGGGCAGAGGAAAAGGCCCAAGTATGTCCATGGCAAGGCATTCCATTGGGGTACTGACCACATACTGCTATGATGGAGAACGTCTCTTGTTACCCCAGGTCCTTTTGTCTCCACAGACATGACAAGCTCTGACCCACTTCTTAACGTATCAAGTTAGTCCTGGCCAGTAACACAATGTATTGAGCCGTGAGAGCTCCAAGTGTTTTAGTAACACCCTGGTGACTCACAGTTTTATGGTTATGGTGAGCTCTTAGTGCCGTCTCATTCAAGTTGTTTAAGAGGATGATCTGGTACTTGGTTTTGGATCTACTTTCCTCTCCAATCTGTGACATAATACTTGATGTCGGAACTCCAGCTGGTCCTACTGGGCTCAAAGTGTCTGCACAGTGTGGTTATAAGGAGAAACATCTTTCCACTTTGGCCTCAAACCACTTCCTTGCGTCCTTGAATCGAGCTACGACCTTGAGGCTGGTATCCTCTCTTTGTTGGCCATCAAGGTCCTCTTGAGTCCGAGACAGTTCCAATTGGATAGTAACGCATTTAGAGTCAGGCTGTCTTGGTGGAGAATGCTCAGTGTTAGCTGACAAGAACTCGGTTTCACCCTGTTTGTCCAGAGGAATTTCTGTATGCTCTGTCATAAACCCTTCAGACTGCAACCTGTAAATCATCAGTTTGAACAGCAACATGCCTACCTAGCCATGTGCTCAACCTTCTTCCAATCTTCACGCGATTCGTAAATACTACCACAAGCTCTTCATGACATAGCATCTGCATTCCGATGAAGTGAACCCTCTCGATACTCAATCTCATAGCGTCTGTGCATACATGTGTAAAAATTACATGAAGGCGATGCGTAATAGGATGAGTGTAAAAGTAAAAATTGAAACTTGCTCAACTTTTATGTTGAAGAGGAACACTTCATGCATAACCTCTATTTTATTACGCAAAAATTATGTGACAGTGGAAATCCACCTTGAGAGAGATGCAAAATGACCCTTTTCCTCTGGTGCTACACACCATGACTTATACAAGCCTGTATATCATCACCATACTCCTGTTACTATACTGCCGCACAAAATCAGGACAGTACGCCACACATTGCAACATGCTTACCTTTTGAATTATGTCCCTGACAGCCAAAAGCTTTCCAGACTCCTGGCCCACAAACAGCAATTCCTGCTCAATAGTGTGTGTAGCAGTATTTCTGTTACAAGGAAATGAAAAGTATTGCTTAACTATATGGAACCTTTGCATGGTGTAGGCAGGACAACTTTATTAGTCTTCGCACATTTTTAAAACTACCACAAAATAAAAAAAACAACTGTTTTTGACAAACAAAGACTTTCAATAAACACATAAAGGTAAAGGTAAACAACCTTATTTGACATCGGTCACTTGTAACAGTAGGGTTGATTGATAGTCTATTGCCCAAGCAGCCTCATTTCCAGCCCAATATACTATTTTCCAAAGAAATATACCATCAGGTTGATGATATGTTGCTCGCATGTTCCAAATTTGGTCAACGCTGGTTGGATATGAAGAAGGTTGACACTCAACAACATCTGCCGAAAGGGCATTGGACACTTTATGAAGTTAACACAACGTAGTCCTCTGTATTGCCTCCACACTACACTTAGACAAAAGTTTTAAGTCTCTTGAAATTTCTGCTCAGCAAATGTTCATGGTCTTCATGAAGGCGAAGTCTCTTCAATTTTGAAAAAGAAGATTCAGAAAAGCGGGAGTGAGACTTGAACCTGAAGCGTAGTGTCTGCAGTCTATCGCCTACACCACTACACCACTGAGGATTACCTGGTGTGGACTGATTTGATTTAAACGTATATAGCAATAACCCTAGCCCTTAATAGAAGCTAACCGTTTTGATTCAGTGCCTAACCCTAATCATTATTGCCCAGGGGTTTCAATAAAAATTAAAGTAGCCAGAAGGTTTGAAAAGAATGTATAAAAAAGAGGGTTTCATTACTTCCCTTCTTCTAGAGGGGTCTGGGGGCGTGCACCCCATGAAAACTTCGAAATTTCAATGCCCTAAAATGCGATCTCCAGCTTTCTCGGCACTAAATTGAGTACAAGAGATCATGTATTTTCGATCAATTTGGACAAGTAATGTACATCAAGTCCCAAATTTTTCTTAAATATTTTAAATGTGAAGCAAAAAGTCTGTCTAAGTCCAGCAAATTTAATTTTAATATACGTTTTGACAGAATCTTTTTTTAATTTAATATTTTATTTCCAGCTTCCAATTTAAGAGAAAAAAGTAGCCGACTTCTCAGAGCAAAAAAGCCGACGTATTTTGTCCGTCGTCAGTGCTTATTGAAACCCCTGATTGCCTAACCCAAATCAATATAGACATTGCTCGAAACTGACGCAATAAGGAATACTATGTCGTGTAAACTTCATAAAGTGTCCAAGGGCCTTTTGACCGACGTTGTTCAGCAACAACCTATAAAGAATTAGGCAGGGGATTGAGCCAATCAGAAACGATGAAATATTTTGAATGAATAATAAATGAAATCATAATGACCGTTGAAACTATTTTCTCCCAGTAACCAGTTTGTCAAAAGGAATTCCCCGAAACTGGAGTAAGATGGGGGGGGAGGGGGTGGGGAGTTTGTCGCACAATAACTACATCAAGCATCAAGCATTCTGTGCAGCACATAACGAAAAAAAACTCTGCTATAGTTTGGATTCCTGCTCCATAAGGTAGGCCACTTTTTGGCACTTGCTTCCTTCACATACGTTTTCCTTCACAGATTTGAATATGATGATGAAGACTTTGCCAAGCATTACTACATAATACCGTAAAATTCCGAAAATAAGCCCCTCCAAATATAAGCCCCACCAGGGGGGCTTGTACTCGGAAATTGCCCTCAATTACAAAGTAAAACAAAGCAAACACGGTAGTTTCCTTCCATTTATAAGGCTAGCCCAATCGATTTTGAAACGCAAATTTCCCTCCGTAGATAAGCCCCTCAAAAAATAAGCCCGTCAAAAAGGGCCCTCGAAAAATATAAGCCCTGAGGCTTAGTTTCGGAATTTTACAGCATATTATAATAATAATAACTTTATTTGTGTGTCAAAGTACTTTAGCATACAAGCTAATTGGAGACACAGTAACAAAGCGAAAATAATATCACTAAATATAGTAGCTTGATAATATAGTATGAAGCGATGCACGAAGGGATATATGAAATTCCCCCTTTTGATAAGGCCCTAGCTGCTCCTGCTGCTGCTGCAAGTGTGGTTCCCAATTGCAGGGTTGCTGAGGATACCTCCCTGCTAGGTCTGGGTTATCTTAGACCCTTATCCACTAACTTTGAAGTTGTTAATTCCCAAGCTCAACA